AGCCACAAGAAAAAAAATAAAATCCTAATGCTTAAGATGTTGCTGATTACAGAAAATATTTCCTGGAGCAGGGAATCAGCTTTGTAATACCAAGCAATGGAAAATACAGCGTGACATATCTTAGCACCAAAACGGAGCCCTCGAGACTATATTTACCCACATGTGATAAAGCTGGTTTTAACGGTGTTCAGTTGCAGCATGTTCTTCTCTTTTGGCATTTGAATTTGGAAATGGAAGGAACAGTCTCCGTTCATCATTTTCCAGACACACTGCACCAGAAAATCAAAAAGTATTTGAAGTGCCCTGATGGTACTGAGCTTCTAAAACATTGAGATGACACTGCAGCTCTGCCAAATTCAATTTTGTGCCCTGAAAAGACCAAGGCAGGCTTTTCAGGTGACCAAATGTTAATTATGGCAGCCCAACAATGTCTGGTTTGCCTTCAAAGAGCTGAGATGGGTGTTTGCTCCACACCACATGACTGGGGACTGCAAAAGGTTGAAGGTTAAAGCCACGGAATGGTGACTTTCCAGTTTAAGGCAAATTAGCTGTTTACCCAGAGTGAAATATTAATGGGCTTTAGGTGCCTAATTGGAAACTTTGTAAATCCTAGCAGACATTCAAATACCTCTGACACTGTGGGTCAGGCCATCTCAGCTAGGACATGGATCTGCTAGATGCATCACTAAGGACAGGGTGTGTAGCCATTTCCCCCAATTTCAGTGGTTACTAAGGGCACACAGCATTTGTAGGAGGTTTTCTGCACCCTGCAGGACCAAACTATCAAGGGCTATTGCATATGGTTAACATGGTGGAGCTGGAGCTGCTGAAATCCTCGTCAGAGCTGAGAGGCCATCACACACCTGAGAGGTAGAAAAAGCCAGGGTTTGGTCATCCTGGCATTGAGAAATAAATGGGAATGTGGATGTGAGCTGTGTTTTTGAGCTGGAAAGGGAAGAGCTCTGAAACCAAAGAGAGCATTTTTCTTCAAGGTGGGAGAGGAGCATCCATGACAGCAGGATGAAGGCAGGACAACCAGCCAGGGAATCACGGACGTTCCCCTAAGCTGATGCTTTAATCCAACATCAGAGACTGGTGCTTTGGGCCTGCAGACTGGGAACTGGCTGATTCTGTCAAGGTTAAGTGCTGAGGGGGTTGGGAAGGGAGCAGGGACCTGCCCATGGATTTGTTCAACCTGACTGAGTGCAGGCTCAAAAGAAGCCAGAGCAGATCAAGATGGGCAGGTACCACACACTCTGCAACCCCCAACTTTTGCTCCAGAAATGCTCATCCTTGGTCCTACGCCTGAAGACAGGCCAATAACCTGTGCCTGCACACCCTTCTTGTGGGAGCAAAGCAGTCTGTGTGAATGTGCTGAAGTTCAGTATCCAACAGCCCAAAAGCAACAGCAGGGTTGCTCCTCAGCCCTTGGTAATGGTCTTGGATAATTATGAGTTCAGCACTTTATAGTGGTGGCCTTTTGTAGCTGATAACACAGTAAACTTCAGACTTTGATGCCAAATTCAGAACCAGGGAGGCAGAGGGAGAAGATGTGGCCTCACCAGTGTCATCGGTGTATCTGTGAAATTGCACCAGCTCTGAATTTAACTCAAAACTGGGGCTGGCCAAAAAAAAAAAACCTTCCAGTGGCTTATACTTCTATATTGCAAAGTAAAGTGATATTTTAGGCTAGCAAGATTGGGTTTCCAACATCTCCTTTGAAGTACATTACTCCAAAGCCTTGCTAATGTTCCAGAATTGAAATGAAGTCCAGGCAAGAGTAAATAGTTCCTTCTGATCTCTGCTCAAGCTGTAAGTGACAATCCAAGAATCCCATCCACTTAAACTATGCACTGTCCATTTCCACTTGCCTAAGAAATTGTCTAAGAAGTTCAGCTCCAGCTTTTCTGGAAGGCAATCAGTGCAACAGACAACAGTAGCCCAATCCCCTATTTCTTCCCAACCTGCAGGCTAAAAGAAATAATAAAGCATTTACCACCCAAAGTAATTTTAGAATAAAGATTTCAGGTTATAATCTTCTCCGAAAGGACAGAGCGTGATAAATGACACAACACTGAAGAACAATAAATTGAAAGACAAATGGTGAGGAGAATGAAACCTGAGGAAATAAAAGAGCCGGCGCAGGATAAAATTAAAACTCTTTTTTTCTGTTTAATAGGTGAGTTTTAAATACGATTTAACTTCCCTGAACAATCAGTAAAGACTCCCACATGCTGGGCTCAATGCTCCACTCATCCCTTGCTTGGCCAACATCAGAGCTGGCTGCTCTCAGAGTCTGCGGCTGTCTGCTCCCCGACCATGCCTCCACAAGTAGTTAGCTGCCATAGGAATATCTACAGTTACAAGGCTGATGGAAAAAAACAATGACGTTTTCGCAACGTGTCCCAGGAAGCGTTAAATGTCTATGACACATCCCGGTGGCCAGAAACTCCAAGAACACCAGAGCAGCGAAGGATGCTCGAAAGAAGGTGGATGTGGTAAGTAAAGGATCAGTGCTGGGATGCTGTTTAGCAAACAGCCATTCTGCTTCCCTTCCTTGCAATGTCCTCGTACGCCAGGTCTCCTGACAGCAGTCTTTTGGGAGCTATCTCCTGCTGACAGATGTTATACCAGCCATTGGAGGGACTGGGCTGAAGCAAGTAGGAGCTGGGAGAAGCACCCTCCCTGTTTTTCTCAGCTGTGCTCTCATTTTGCTGGGCACAATCCTTTAGTCTTCAGAAACGAAACATGGAGCAACGTTTTTAGGGGACCCTAAGAGGGATCCAAAGTAGTTATCAAACCAGTTGCATGGACACAGTCCACTGCTACTGTCAGTAGAAATCCAGTCTAAAACCCAGTTTTTCAATGTCTGCACCGCTACAGAACCCTATTCCTAGATTTCTGAGAAACAAATGAAAACCATTTGATGAAGAGGTGACTACTTTTCCCTTCAGTTGATTAAAACTTGAACAACAAGATCTTCAGTACAAGACAACAGCTGAGAACAGATCCAGTCCTGCTGATCTCCCATGTAAGAAAATTTTTGAAGTCTTGGGAGTTGGCAGGATCTGGCCCAGCCTGCAGCGGTTGCACCCATCACATTCCTCAGTGGCAAATCAGGAAACTCACTGAAAGACAGTCTAGAGATTCCCCAGTGATGCATGGCAAATGGAGTCAATACTTCTTGCCTAACGCATGCTCTAGGGCAGATTCCGATGTAGTCCAGAATATTATTTCTGAGGCTTTCCCCCTTTAATCCAAAGAATTTAAGGAGGAAACTGGTGACGCAGAAAGCAGCAGCTATAGCCTGGTGTTAGTCAGTAGGTTCTTCTGAGCACACGGTGGTCAGCAGGATTATCTGATCGAAGTTCGCTGTCACCATAGGGTATGTGCTTGAGGTGGGCATTATCTGGCCATAAGCACTGGCTTCAGGTTTAGGGCTAGAAATAACATTTCTTTTTGAAGGGGTCTTCACTGAGCGGGCTTTGGCATCACAGCATTTTAACAGAGCTGTGTACAATTTCCAAGCTGAGTTCCCTGAGGCCAGGGAACAGGGGTCTGTTTGTGGTTAGAGAACAAAGGTCTGCCGAAGTCAGTGGTTTCCTATGAAATCAGGCTAAAACTCAGCACAAACCATCCAATTCACTTTTTGAAGGAGGGATTCACTTGCACCTTAAAGTTAGAGCAACATTCAGACTTGGACGCAGTTTGGTTCTTGCTTTTGAGAGAATTTTACACCACAGTGATGCCGCCAACCTCTGCTGAGTTACAGCAATTTCAGGCTCAACACGTGGGACTGATGGGGTCATATATCCCTGCAAAGTAAATGGGAAATACTTCTCCTGTAAACACAGCTGAGGCAAACCCAAGGTGTCTGACCCAATTCTTCACCCTCTCTGGTGCTTACCCTGCTTGGCATGAAGCAAGCCCCCAGTTTCACTAGTCAGGGTGGCACTGGGACAATCTGGGGGCTTTATATAGACTGCATTGGGCTGGATCCTCAGCTGGTCTAAAGCACTGCGGCGTACGCAGCCTGAAAAGATTGATGCTTTTTATTCCCACCTAGCAACCAGATTCATGAAGGTGCAAATGAAACCAGCATTCACTCAACAGTCTCATCATCAAATCTGAACAGCTTTTTTTCCTTTCACCCTGTGGGGCTCAAAGTCAGGTCTTTAAAGTGACTTGGATTTAAGAGCACGGGCTTGACTATGAAAGCTTTTGTGCATGTTCCTGTACAAGAATGCAGTACTGTACAGAATCCCATCACAGAGACATTCAGCTTATTGTGCACAGCCAGCACAGCTCAGGACACATTTCTGCACACTAGGTCTTGTTGCACCCCTGTCAGTTCACTGCAGCTTTGTCTGATACCATACAGAGACCATAGGTTGAGTCCTTTTTCATAAATCACTCAGGAATAATAAATAGCGTATGACTGGTATAACACTTTTTCTAAGACTGGAGAGGCGGGAGAAAAAAAGCCCTTTGATCACTAAGATCAAATTTGCAGTAAACCCCAGCTACAATGCTACAAATGATCACTTACATTTCAATATGAAAGAAGTGTGTCAGAGTTGGCTAAAAGAAATGTTCATGTCCAGAAATTGGCCTAGACAAACCATCATCATCTGGAAATGTCCGACCCTTCCCGTTGGGAATGCATCTGCCATCGGTAGCTTTGTTTTAACAAATGACAAACCATCTGATCCGTGCTGGCCTTGCACCACTGCGTAACGGGTTGGCGAGGCTCACGAGGAGAGATGCCAGCAGTCTTTCGGTGTGCTTTACAAGTACAGAAAAAATAGTTCAATTTGTTGCTAGTTTTCTGTTGTGGTTTTTTTTTTTTTTTCCTTGCCTACAGATTAATTCCCAGTGCTTCCAATTCCACATGTTCTTGGAAAAGAAAAGGGATAGGGGAAAAAAAACCCTTGAACAAGTTGAAATGTTAAAAAAGAGAGGGAACAAGAAGGAGAACAGAAAGAAATGGATAAGTGCAGTCAGTTGGCGTATTGTGCATAGAAAGCAACTTTTACTCGCTCGATCTGGTGACACAGTTTGATGGCTGGACCAAGCTTCAGCTCCATGCATTCTTGCACCGTGGGCAGTGTCAGCAACAGAAGGGCTTGGCCATCGATGTCCTGGGGAAGAAAAAGACAGGGAAAATGTTTTTTTTTGTGGACTCCGGAGGGCAGAAAGCATAACCAGGTCTGGAGAAGCAAGTAGGGAAGTTTGCCCCCAAAATTAATTGCGGTTTTGTCCTCTGCCCTTTTCTCTCACTTTGATGCTGCCCATCTCCTTTCTCTGCGATACCTCATGCTTTTTCAGAAGTTGTCTAGTGTGTCTTCATAGGCTCTCGCTTTGCCGCCAGTTTGGGAAAAGCTTCCCAGCTGCTGCAATGCAGGATCAGCTCCTACAGAAACTCTGCAGAGTCCATGGAGATCTGATTAATCCCATTTTATGACTGAGGAACTCAAACAAGGAGGCTGCAGAGAGCACATCAGGAGACACAGGAGGGAGCTGAAGGGAGGAACTGCTGCTGGTCCCACTGCCAAGTCAGACCTTCCCCTACCTCTTTTGGCCCATAATGTGCTCAGCACAGGTTTATGTCTGCCTTGCTCCACGCCATGTCCCCTGGTCCACCCAGGACCTGCCTTGTTCCACTTCAGCTGCTGCAGAACCAAGACAGAGGGGTCTGGACCACCTGGAGTCCTTGCAATCTCTAATGTCCCAGAACCACAGAATGATGCGGGCTGGAAGGGACCTCTGGAGGTCACGTCCTTCCCTCGGGCATATCTATGCAGCAAACTCAATGAACTAGCACCCCAGACAAAAGCCATTTTATTAAGGATTTCCGTTGGCTTTATGATCCTCTTCTTAATTAAGAGCTCAAGTCCTCTTTATTCTTTAATGGACTGAGAAGCAGACGAGCAGGCTACAAAACTGCTTTTTACCCCTTAGGGAGGATCAGAATCTAAGTGCAGAAAAAAGCACTGTAACTCACAGGCAACATAACCTCCCCAGGACAGCCCTGATTAGGTAGCATTAAACACAAGGAGGATTTGGACACCTAAAGCACTGCTTTGATCAGGACTGTCCATGGCCCAGGTTCTTCCTCCACTGAAGCTTGATGGCATGGCCCATTGCACCAGAGCTTCCTTGCAAATCACAAGGCAAAGCTCCAGTCATCTGTGTTTGATTAAAGTCCCCATAAAACTCTTTGGCAAAGGAGAGACCGGGTTGGCTTTCAAGCCCTGGCGCTGTTCCAGGCTGATTAACAAACGGTCGGAGCATGCCGCGACGCAGCGACTACGGCATCTTGCTATGGAGCGTTTCTGCCTTACTCTAGACTCGCACTTCAACTTCTCCCAGTCAAAGCAGCTGCACTTGGGTACAGAGTTACTCATGGTGAAGAATCAGAGATAGTTCAATGTGCAGTTGGCCATACCACTGACTGCCATTGGCTACGGCCTAATTAACCACACTTGCTTCTTTCTAACTATGATTTCTTAGCGCTGCCCTTTACTTTCAGTGGTGGCTGTTACTCATTAGCCAAGGAATGGCTGTTTCTATATAAATTTTACACATTCACACTGACTTGAGATGAAGAGCATTGGCTTCTGCTCCCGCAAACCTACCTGCTTAATGGGGAGATGCTTGGCACCTCCTAAAATTAGGTCATCCAAGGGCCTGACTGCCAGATCTTCAGAGGGATGCAGATAGGACGTAGGTGTCTACATACTCAAAGCATCTAGGTGTTAGTGACAAAATTCAGGCAGCCGGGTTTGGGTTCAAGCAGCAGTTTTCTGCTTCCCAGGCCAATATTTTAAAATACAGTGGAACCCATGTGGCCAGGAGAGACAGCTTGCTAGGTACCAAATAACCACTCTCTGTTGGTACACTGAGGTGCCTGTGTGACCCCAGGATGGCAGTGTGGACCTTGGCATGAACAAGAAAGGTCTAAACCTCCTGCTTTTCACAAGCACTCCAGCTGGGGTGTTTCTGGTCTCTCTGAGGATCTGGCAAGGCTCTGATTCAAGTTTCCAAGGGCTTCCATGCCTTGCCAAAATTTGTGCTACAGCCTGGTCTGAGGGGATCTAAAGTCTGATCATAATCTGTCTGTCAAAGCCCCAGGCCCAGCTAGCAAGGTGGTATGTGCCGCTCTTTTTTTTCGTGATGTGAATAAGCACCACGGACACAAAGAGAAGAGTTACATGAAGACCTCTACCTGCTCCTGAAATATTTTGGCAAGGGGTGCACAGTCGGTCAGTTTAATAAACCTCACGACATCAGTCACGGTCCACTCCAACGGATTACTGTCCAGGATGAGCTTCTCTTCCTCTTCTTGCTTAATTTCCTACAAAAAAACCCCAAAAGCTGTCATAAAGAAAAACACCTTGTGTGGAGAACCAGGGCAGGGATGCCCTCCTCAGATGAGGAAGGCTTGGCACGGAAGGGTCATTTAGGAAGAATACCGCCGTTAATTGGGAGCGATCGCGGGACATACCTCCTTGACTTGCGCGCACTTCTCCGCCTCGCCGTAGGAGTGGGGCTGCGGTCTCCGGCTCCGTCGGGCTCTCTCCGTGGGAGGAGGTCTGTCCGACTCGGCGCTGCTCCGCAAGGTGACCGCTCGCCGGGGCCTGGCGGAGGGGACCTCGGCAGAAGAGGTATCCGTCTGGTCATCCCGGAGCTCTGAGCTGGTTTCCTCGCTTCCCGTCTCGTCCTCCATCGCGTCCGGCTCGTCATCTTCGCTCTCCTGCACGAGAACCGTCAGAGAAACAGCATCCAGGCTCGGAGATTAATACGGCAGAAAATCGAAAGGCACTGGGTCAAACTGCGCACCCGTGCCCACGCTGGTCCAGGGTAACATTTATTTTAACCCAATTATCTCATTTTCATTGCAGTGCTAAGTAGATTAGCCCTCAATTCAGATTTGTTACACAATATAGAAGAAAAAAATACATGGTGGACAAATCCTTTTTCTGTTTCTAACAAAAGGTCAACGGCAATAACTCATCTGGCATGAAATGTTCCTCTGCTGGCCTTGCATCTCAAACCTCGTGGCACTGGAGATGTGCGTGAGAAGGGGAAATGGAAAATACTAAAAGGACAAAACGAAACTCAGGTTGCTCGAGATAACATAAAATCACAAATAGGCTTGAGTTTAAACCTTCGCCTTGCTTCAAATTACCACAGGTGTCACCGGTATTGAAAGGAAGGAAATTCTGGTGCCTTTTAAAAATATCTAAATCTACAAGTGCATACTTGAACTTGATTTCTCAGCTGGCATTTCTGTAAAACCCAGGACAGAGGATTTCACCAAGATTTCCCTGCTTTCAGCCCAACACCTAACTGCTGAAGGTGAAGCACAAATTTCCATTTAAAGGATATTATACCAGATTCTTGTTATTTCTGTCACACAGAGCTTGCAAGAACACATCAATTGGTGGGAACTGTGTATTTTGAACTTTATATATACGTAAGTGGCCCAAATGGCTTTGACAGCTGAGCTCTGATCAAAGCATGAGCATGCATCCAAGCCATATGCTTAGGTCTTAAGTGAAAGAGCAATTTTAGACAAAGTTAGTTATATTGGCTGAAAGGCTGAAAAATTGGCTAATGGTTGATTTAGGCTTAACATGAGTTTAAATTCCTTTGAAGCAGGTATAATTTAAGGAAATGAAGCAGAACTACACCTAAATGAGGACCAAGTCATGAAGATGCAAGCAATCAACTGAAAGCTGACTAAAATATCCCCCTCCAGCTGAAGTACAGGGAATTTAAGTAAATCAGTTTTATTTCACATTGCACAAAGCAGCAATCACTGGCACTCAGCTGAGGAAAGGAAATCAGATATGAACTTTGTCATTATATCAGGGGAAAACCACCTGGGAACGGTCCACACAGAACTAATTCTGCTCCAGGTTGTATCTGGACACAAATCATTGCTGAAGCTGGGATCCTGTCGTATTACACAGCATTTGGAAAGACTGAGGCCTCAAATACCATATATTTGGGACACAAACCATTTGCTTGTATTCTAAAGCCTCTAGAACTTCTATTGCTTGATGTTGTGAACCCAAAATATTACAAATGGTTAATGAAAAAATAAAAGCCCTTGAAACCACAATGGCCCATGAGTTGTTATTATTATTTATAGTACATGGAGATCTTAGACATGGATCACAGACCTCCTTCACTCTGCTAGATGCTGTGCAAAGCATCTAACAGGCTCGTCTACCTGCCTAAAGGCTTGTAAGGAAGCAAAAGAAAACAAAGATACAATATTAGACAGCATGTTAGCTAGTAAGCATTATGAAGATGGGAGCAAAAACTCTGTTTGTTAACTCTAGTATGGACAAGGGTAGAAGTCCCCAAAGTGTCCCAAGAAAACCAGTCTGACCTTAGAAGAACAGAGCAGCAAGGAGGGATTCAAAAAGGAAAACCTAAGTGTTGAGGTTTGCCGAGACGTCCCTCAAAAGGAAGAAGCAGATGGGGGGACAAAAAAGCACCAAGGGGCTTTTGCTGATTTATCCCACCACAACACGCACCTCTGCAGAGCCTGCAGCATTCAAATCAACAGCTGATGACCTCCTTTTCTTCTGCACAAAGATGGATTTCCGCCTCTTTCTACGTCTGGCTGGCTTGACATGTCCACTTTTCATGTTGTTATTTTCCCCAATTGGTGGCTTAATGATTTTTTTCCTCTTCCCATAATAATAAGCTGGAGGAATGAAGCAAAATACCCATTAAAAACTTTAACCACCAAGAGAAGGAAACTTTGGCTTGCTCCTTGCTACTGATTCAATACTGCACTCTAGGTGCACTTTTACAAGAAACTTTAAAACACATTGATTTGGAAAAAATGTCCAGTGTAAATACAAGATGTCATCTTGGACTAGCGCAGAGTGTTACAGCTCTTATGTATACACATTTATTGCTGATGAGTGAGGAGTTCAGAATTTAACCCTACAATATGTACTTAGGAAAAGCTTCCACTAAGCCGAGCAGTGATTTGGAGGGAGAGAGGCTAGCATGTTCTAGATTTGATCCCATGCCCTTCTGCATGAGTTAACAGTCTTAGATACTCTTTCAGTCGCTAATGTTTTCAGCAGAGAGTGAAGAGGACCAGCTATCCTGAATTATGTGTGTTTGTTCAATGCACGAAGGAACGGGCTTTTATTACCTTTGACTATTTCGTGGCCCAAGTTGAAATTAAGGATGTGAGAGTCCTCTGACCTTACGTGAGGGACTTGTGTGAGATGCCTTTTGACATGCTCTACAGCAACCTCTGGGGCTGACAGATACTCTGCCCTTCACCACGTAGGGTATCCTGGGACAATTAAAATGTCACTTGGCACCTATGTCAAAGTTCATAACTGAATTGAGCTTTTCATCAAATTGATGGAGTTTTGAGGAACGATTCATCTAGCCACATACAACCATCAACTCGAAGATGAGAAAATCTCAGCTGGAGCTTCCCTACCTGTACTCCCACAGCTCTCCAACAGGAGCTAGGAGTCTAGCTCAGGTGTAGAATTGTACAGAAACCCATATTTAGCAATGGGAATCTCTCCCTGAGCCCATTTCTCCTTCTACTGTGGCACCAAACAGAAGCTAATTAGTTTAAATCAATCATATGGGTTTCTTATAACCTTTGTGGAAGGACAGCACTCACTTCCACTTTCCTAACCTAAGAGCCAATAAAATCAGTAACATTGACAACAAAAAGCGTCGAACACATGCCTACCTTCAGTCTTCCTGAGTAGGTAGGAGCATGTTTAAATATTAAATACCCTGAGCAGAGAGAGTCAGTGCTACCAAACTCCTTCCAGCACCTCGGCACTGTGATACCAGCCTGTGCTGGTACGTATGCCAGAAACTCTTCACTGAGTAGGACAGGATTCATCTCAACTAACGACGCTGTCTCAGATGTAGCAGTTTAAATCTCAGCTGGCCACTGCAGGTTCCTTTTATGTGTTCCTTATATTAACTTCATGTATGAAGAAAACTCAAGACTTCTAAAAAGTAATGACTTTCAAACAGATATATTAGGATGGAGTGAGATGGACAGTTTTCTGGAGATGCCCATTTCTCTGTATAGAATAGTAAGGGAGCCTGTGGTGGCCTGGTCATGATTACATAAATGCTCTTAGATGAGACGAATCCTACTCAATATTAACATGTTACACAACTCCTCTTCTTCATCACTAGCTCATGCACAGTCTCCCACCGCTCTGATTCCCAGCTAGCAACAAGAAGCATTTTGGCCAATACTCACTGTACTTGGTTTTAGTATGAATGGAGCAGTTCTCTGGGCAGACTTCGGCCACCAGAACAGGACTGAACAAGTTGGGGCAGCATTCCAACTTTGCACAGACTCTTCTGCAGAAATCTGCTACCTGATCCGATGTCCGCACAATCTTAACGGTCGCCCTGTATGTCTTCCCTCTGTATCTAGAAAAATGTACAAGACCCCATGTCACCAATCAGGCAATGTCCTCTGATGCTACAGACCAGACCCTCCTCTGTTAGGGAGATACCTTCCCTAATGACTTTTGGGAGAGCGTCTCTCTTGAGAATGCACGCAGAATAGGTCTACTTGTTTTAGTGGCTCCACTTCAGATGGACTTGAGGAAGGAAAGGCAGGGTGAAATGACCCTGGAATCAGAGGTGTGGACATGACTTGGGGAGGAATGCATGCGCAGACTGGATATACCTGCAGATAAGGCAAGAGACGGAAAAAAATCACAGGAGGCTTGGTGAGGATATTACACAGGACAGCATGCCCATACTACGAGCTGATGCAGTTTTGGGAAGAAGGATGTAGTCTCTCCTCATATATTGATCTGCAATGAGAAGCTTGTATGCCTTGCAGAGCTTTCTGGTCACCACCCTGTATGTGGGGTGCACTGGAGACTGTCTCTGTAAGCCCCCAATACACCTTTGGTCTTCTCCATTGCCATCTTTCTTGACGCAGCTCCAACATCATACAATCAATCATAGAATCATAGAATTGTTTTGGTTGGAAAAGACCGTTAAGATCATCGAGTCCAACCGTCAACCCAACACCACCATGCCCACTCATGTTCCAGCTCACAAGAAGCCCACAGTTTCGTTGTGCCAACAGCGGTTGCATCTGGGTGAAACTGGACTGTCTGCCATACAGGGACCAGATGACTTCACCACTATGAGATTTGGGCAGTACAAGACCCGAGGAACTCATCAGGAGTGTCTTGAGTCATTTAACAGGGCTGCGAGAACAGGCCCTAAAAACAGTGATTCCTACAGGGAATGCTTAGAGCAGATGCAATGAAAGGTTTGTCTTAAATTTGTTATCCATGTGCTACTAAAACATTTATTTCAGTGTTTTATATGAAGTGTTTCTGAGCGATAAATGGCTAAGAAAGATATAGTTACATCCCTGCTGTAATACATTGTAGATGCGAACTCTGAAAAACCAATTATCCCCATAATTTATTAAACAGCAGCACCAAGCTATTGTAAATGGTGAGATAAGGTTTTTAAAACATCTCTTGCACGTCCTGAGGAATGCAACACAAGAGACAATCACGCGAGTGCCTGGTGCTAAGGCATTATAAATGTGCTTAGAGGAGAGAAAAGTAACACACACAAAAGAGAAAGAGGGAGAGACAGTGAAAGAAAGATTACTGGATGGGAGGCAACGAAATACAAAGATACAGTCATCAGGAAAAATGAGACAAAGCATTTGTGAGTGCATTAAGACCCACAGTTCCCTAGCAGGGAATCAGCTGCTGATAGTCAGATATGGAAGAGGAAGAGGAGGGGAAGGTGAAACAAAGGAGACGAGGCCAGAGAGTTAAAACACACAGCATGTGCCCAGACCCAATTCCCTCTCTCTGAAGGTTTTACTGAGTTGCGCAAAGCAGCTGAGAAACCACCTTTTGCTGCTCTTCCTCCCAAAAGCTTCTTCCAGAAACACTGGGGTATGGGAAAAGGGTTTGAAACTGTGGTACGTGAAGTGTTATAGAGGCGTACCCAAACGAAACTGGGGTCTGAGAACCGCCCAGTCCAACCATCTTCATGTCACAAAAGACTTGATCCAAAATATCACCTCAACACAAAACTCTTCCAGAACCTATATGAGCATTTCTGCAAGGCACCAGCTCCGATACCCCAGCTGGTGCCTGACCAAGGACACCAGGTCATGGTGACAATCCTGGATTCATTCATCCTTCTGGATGAATGAATGAATTAAATGACTTAACTAGCCAATTCTTCACGCCCCTCAACAGACCTGGACAACAGATCTAAAATGGAAAAAAGTGTTCCTTCCAGATGCAGAGTGCTGTTATCCCAGCTTCCCTATGAAATAGCTGCACAAGCAGGCTGGCTAAAGAAGGTTTGGCAATACCTAATATCGAAAGAACAAATTCCACAGGCATTTAAATATATCTACTTATAAATGTTTTATATTTCTTTTCAGTGTGTTTGAAAAGACTCCTGCCCTTATTACTTCTCCAGGAGCCATTAAGTTTAACAACAGCCTAGATCATTAGGTCAGTAAGTCTGACTCCTGTGACAGGCTGCGGAATTTCATTGCGTTACCTTCACCTGAACCCCAAAACCTTTGGTTGGACTAAAGCATCACTTCCAGAAAAGCACCAGCCTCCCCTCGAGGGTCTCCACCCTGGAAGAATCCTGGCAGTGGGAGCACCTGTAGCGATACCTGATGAGCCTATGCCTCATTTTATGTCTGGATGTGTCTGGATTTAACGTACATTTAGTTGTCCTTGTTCTGACTTTCACCACTAGGATGAAAAGACTGCATCTGGTTTTGTTTCCCTGCAAAAGCACTGTAATCAAATTGCCTCTTGATCTTCTTTCTTATAAGCTAAGAAAGCTGCCTGATGGGTATTATTCAAGGATGGCTGACTTTTTCTAACTGTGTGCTTCCTATTGTGTTTGGCTGCCTAGAAAGGACCCATTGTACTAAAGTGCCTGGTGAAAGAAAAAGATGAAACTAGGAAAATGAACAACTGACTGATTTCACAGTCTGGTTTGAATGCAACGCACATAGTAATTAACAGAACGGATGGCTAAATGGAGATCAACATGACTGCAGCAATCAGTCTCAATAACCCAAGGTGTTAGTACTGGCCCCAGTAATATTTTTTACGTGATTTTGGCCTTGGCAGCACCTCTTTCAACTATAAACCAGGTTCTACTAATATTTTCCATATTCCTCACACACTAAAGATTTTTAACACAAACATCACCAAACGTAATCTGAGCTGTTCTAGGACAGCCATGTGGAAAGAGCTCCTTTGTATATAATCAGAAAACCCTTTTCCATTAGCATTGCTCAAAAAATTACCAACTACTGATACTCCTATTGATGTTTTCATACTAGGACTCCTACCTTCCCAACCACTTATAAGCAGTAAGTAACCTGCATGCACAGCATGGCAGCACTGGAGACTTGGAAAACAGCCATGTCAAGCATAACATTTTCAGTCATCTTAGAAATCACTGTTCTTTTAAAAAAGATTTATCATCTAAAGCCAAAGAAATCTTCCTTTCCTCTCCCCCTTTCTCTGCCCTCAGATACCAAAACCTGGAGAAACCCTTACAGCTGAAACTACTTCCATGAAAAATATACTTGGGGTCTTTGCTGATCCACAAGCAACAATATTAAGCTAACAGCACTTTGCTGGCAATATCATTCTTCTGTTGAAGATTCCTTTGGTGGTAAAATAGATCAGAGGTTCATGAGAACAAAATGTCTTCCAAGAGCTCCAGCTAGGGACCACTGTGTGATGACACACAAAGTCTTGTGCTGAAGACGCTTCAAACAGCAAGAACATTGAGACTACCCTCATTTTCAAAAGTTTCATCATAAGGATACAGCCTACAGTTCTGACAATCCTCAAGACTTTTGAACAACTCAGTGGCTAAAAGCCTCAATTTCCTTTTAGGGGACCAAAATCTCCTATTCTTTTGCAAGAAATTTCCAATTTGTCTTCCTAGCTTAAAGTCTGCCAAACATAAGAAGGTATCCTCCTCCAAAGCTATTTAATCATCCAGTGGCATTTTGTACTCTTGAAGGGAGGATTCAGAAAAGACCCTGGAACTGCTCGAGTTGTAAGGACATGTCTTGTTAAGTCTCCTCCCAATTACGGAAAGAAAGGGTTTAAGTCATTCTACTGCTCCTGATGACTTCTATCTCCAATATTTGGCACAGAAGGCCACCTGGTCACACTAATTCACCCTTGCAGTGCCTCAAGAAGTATGTGGCACAGCTGATGTGGAAGACGAACCAGATTATATGAGCTGTAGCTTTGTGCTGACCTTTGATGACACCGTTAATAACTAGCTGCCACCTGGACTTCGTATCATTGATTGTAACCCTTTGGGTTCATTTGTCCAGTCAACTTTCCACTCATCATGCACACATTCAATCCACATCTCCACAGCCTGGCCATAAGGACACTTGGGAGACTGTGTCAAAAGCCTCGATAAAATTAACCTGATAAAATCAAACTTTCACTGCTTTTCCCTCAACCACCAAACCAGTTATCACATCAGGCACAACTCACCCTTCATAAATCCATGCTGGTTCTTGCCAGTCACCTATTGGTCCTGCATGTTCTTGGAAATAGCTTCCAGCAGGATTTGCCTAATAACCTTCCCGGGAAGTTAGACTGACAGCCTGTAGTTACTTGGATTCTCCTTCTTGCTCTTCTTGAGGAGGGCTGTGATGTTTGTCTTTTTCCAGACATCACAAAACTTCCCTGATCGTCATCAACTTTCAAACATGACAGCGAGTGGCCTTGCAATGACATTGGCCAGTTCTCTCAAGCAGAGCTGGCTGCATCCCATCTGGTTCCATGCACTTGGGCACATCCCGTTTGCTTATAGCGTCTCTAGCTTCTTTTCCATTTACTGTGGGTAACACTTCACTCCCTCAAACAGTAACAGGGACCTGGGAGGCCTGAGAGTAACCCTTGCTAGCAAAGGCTTAAGCAAAGAAGACTTCGAACATCTCAGCATCACCTATCACAAGTGAAAGGCAGTCTTCTAAAGCATCCACAGTGAAGACTTTCTTTGAAATGCAGCTTCATAAATAAGCAATGGTGTCCGTGATAGGGGGATATATTCCTAGAGTTCAGCTACTGGATTTGGGCAGCTCTCGAAATTTCGTTTGATGAAGGAGTCCAGGAATACTCATCTTTCTTATTTTGATTAACTGGGCTTTGTACAAGACCCAGGAGATAACTCTCTGCACACACTGGTACTGTTTATGTCCAAAGTCCTGCAAAAATGGGTAAGTCCAAACAGCCCCACTTACAGCCCTTAGAAATGAAAACCCTTAAAAAGCAAAAAGTCCCTCAAGCATTTCATGTAAAATTGGGAAGCCAAACCTAGATGTAGGCACTGAACTTAAAGCATCAAAACTATAAGGGCTGAATGCCTACCGCTTCGGCTGGCGCTTATGGGAATTCAGAAGATCAGGCCTGACATTTCTAACTCATCATCACCAGTAAATCAGGTTTGACTATTTTCACAAAGAGCCAGCAGCGCTGATGGGAAGCGACTGCCATCACGCATTGCAGACACATCTCTTCGGACAATCTAAATTGTTTATCTTCTTAGCAAGGCTAGTGTAATTGATTCTGTGCTGGTCACTCATGCCAGCAGAATCAACTAAATGCAGGTTGCCCTAGGACTGAGGTAATGCATTCCTGGTAGGGCATGATTTGGCATTTGGGCCAGTGGGAAAAACAGCCTCCTCTTCACCGTCTTCCTCCCTCCCCTTTGCTCTACCCTACTACAGCCGTCGCCGCAAACAAACAACAACATTGTCAAGATCCAAGGAGTTGTCAGTTTACATCAGAAGGCAGGCGGTGACACGACATGTCACATTACAGCACAGACGCTCCAGCTGGCTGTAGAGCTGTCATCATTAGCAGCAAGACACCATTGGGAGCCGGTGTAGCTGGAAGTCGGTGTAGACAGGCGTTTGCTCGTTACGAGTCTGTTTAAGATTCTGGAGCACAACTGACTGTCATACCTGATGTAACGTGTCATGTGCTGTTTGCACATCCCAGGGTACCTGATTTCACGAGCGTGTTTTCTTTTCTCCTTTTGCACAACCGAATGCAATTAAAACCTGGTATGCTTCTTGATGAAGCAACTCAAGCAAATTCAGCAAGGAAAAAAAGAAAGAAGTCCTAGGGTAGCCAGACAGTCTTAGGGCATGTCAACCCTCTGTCACCCACTCTTAAAAGTACTCCAACTACCCACAGGCAAGCTGGTATGACCACCAAGCACCGCTCTGCAAACAGAGCTCCAGCCCCAGAAGCCAGGTAGCCACAGCAACAAGGTGTTGTCCAGCCCCACGAGCTCTGCCACACTGAATGAGAATACACCGCTGTGCTCAGAAGTCACTCCAAAACTTGCCGTCCCAGCCTCAAGCCTGTAATGATCCATTCTGTGGCTGGATAAAGTTGAGAGATGCTGTTTGACTCACTGAAGAGCTGAGGTTGCTGCCTCCTGGGTTAGTTATCATACAGGAACACGTACACAGCCTGTGTGACTGGCTGGCCAACATAAAATACAAAACCTCCTTGCTGGAAAGCACTGGTATACTTTGATCTGGCAGGCTATGTAGATATAAGGTAGATCCCAGCAGGCTGGCTGCCCTGCTAAATAGATGGGAGGAGGTAATAGAGACAGGAATGAATGGGTAGAAGCGTCATGGGGGAAAGTAACGGAGACGGAGGCGCTCGTTACAGTATGATTAGCACGTCAGGTAACAGTGAGGGGGGATAAGTGGTTGATGTGATACGGATGAGTGACAACCTCGAGCAGCCCGTGTACTCAGCGAGTTGGTCGTCTTGGTGTAAGCACACCCGGAGGCAGCAGGCTGCCTGGGGTCACAGTCAATTGGGCTGTAGACATAGCTGACTATCAAGGACAAGACATCCCCGCACCTGATGGTCAGTTAAACATTTTCCAGGCTGCCTCCCATCAGAAATAAGGATTGTGGCAGCCTTAAGAACTAGGTCCTGCTGCTTTTGCACAAGGTGGATCCCCACACTCAAATGAGAAATCCCAATACAGTCCTATTTTGGATACTGCTATTAGGAAAACTGCCTGCAAGCTCAATTCTTTGCAGGATAGGATATTAAGATGGGGCCTTACAACCTGATTTCACAACTGCTAAGTACCTATAAGAGTGCATTATCTGATGTACAAGGTGTGGGAGCCTGGAATCAATGAAAACCAGGTCATGGACAATGAGTTGATTTTAATGAAAATCTGTGTGCACAAGGATTACTTTTAGATTTCCATCCATAAAATTTCAACTGAAAAACACAAAAACATGACTTTCCGCACGGGTGAAAGAAGTAAATTAAAAATAGGATTTTCTAGTAGCTTTTCATTTCTATTTGCAATCCTCCTTTAGAAAAACAGTTTCTGAGTATGCAGAATAAAAGGTTCTCAATTCTCTACCTCAACAAAAGCACAAATAAATTTTCTGCAATATCTGCATGGCCAAAGATCAAATACAATTGCAATCAATAGTGCCACATTTGACAGCCAATCATTTCAAATAACCAAGAGAAAATTGCTTTTATTTGAAAAAGAGTAACAGTTCAGTACAAAGGGTGAGATTCACTGTATTTAACTTCAGTACTCAAAAAGTCAAGGTGACCAAGTTAGTCAATGGAGAGAGCTGTCTTCAAAGAACTATTTGTTGACATCCATCTTGAAGTGGGAAGAATTGCCCTTTGGAGGGACTCTGGAGGGAGCTTAGGTGAGACTCCCCCCTTTCAGAGAGACAAAGGTTGTTGCAATACATCCTAAGTGTAGTGCCTAATACATAAAGAAGACATCAATGGGTAAATTTTAAAGTTGGAAGGAGAAAATTAGTATTTTGTAGATATACGGTTTTCTTCAGTGTAGTTGAATATGGAAGCATAGATTCTAGAAAGGCCTCAAATCTTGACCTGAATCTCAGATTTGTTAGTATTTTGTCCTAATCACTATCCTGCTTAAAAATGTGTCCCTGCTATTCTCTTCACACTTTTTTTTGGTGCCATTCGTTCTCACCAGGTTCTTCTGCATTAGAGTGACAGGCTCTATATTAAAAGCAGTAATACTCCTACATTTAGAAAGCCAGGAATTGAGTTAATTCAATAATAGCCAAGCTTATAGGAACAGCTCATCATAAACTCAGGACTTCACTGAATAAACATGGCATTTTTCATAAAAATCTGGACAGCTGCTTGGAGAAAGACAATAGAAATGAACCATTCAGGTGAATATTTCATTTCTTAAGTTGCTATAGAATGAATCAAATAATTCAATGAAGCAAAACGATAATTAGAAAAGTAAAACTGTCACAATAGAAAAAAATCTTTTGTTCTCTTCTTTTTTTTTCCTCCAGTCAGTTCCATTTTTGAAGCCTCCCAAATAAAAGAGCACACACCAAAGACTTACTTTGCTTTAAGTGTTTCTTCTTGGAAATTCCACTGAGGGTCTTCCACTAGCTGCAGTTCTCGTAAAACACTCCCTGGCTTGTAAGCTGCATTGATCACCATGCTGAGAACCTATTGAGAGACAAAACCAACAACACTGACGGGTTTAAAAGTAGCCCTTGACCACACTGAATATGATCCCAGGTGCTGCATAGGCAGGAGCAGCTTACAGGTGTCAATTTAGGGCCAAGGCTGCACAGCGTAAGTGCTAGATGCAATGAGAAGAGGTCCCAGATTGGATCGATGTGCCAAGTGTATTGTAGATGACACATCAGTCTGATATGGTGGCTGCATTAAATGCTGCTAGCTAACCCCCCAAATCTCCTGTTAATCAGTAATTTTCTTTGAGACAGACCCTCTCACCCAAAGCAGGCTCCATTCGCTGCATCCATACTGGCTCATTTTAATAAAAAATGAAAATAATTCTGATGGCTCAGCCAGGTACAAAGTCACGTGTACCATTACACACTGAACGGGAAATTTACATACTTGAGGTCAGCAATATGCTCTAAGTGTCTGAGTGCTGCGTGCCTCGACTGTATTAAAAGAATATTAATGAAGTCTACACAAAAAGAATTTGCAGGTGTGCCTGAAACCCAGTCTGGGTCCACTCTGTACAACAAAACACATGTGCCAATCCATTTAATCCAAACTCTCTGAGAATAAAAATGATTCCTACTATTGACTCCACTAATCCAAGCTTTAATAGTCCACACTTGGCCTAAGGAGATAAATACAAGAAAAACAAATCTCTTCAGCAGCACCAGACCATGTGTTTGAACACTCTGCATTGTATGCACATGAATGACCCCACAGTGAGTCCAGATTGGTTTTGATATAATTTAGCTCTTTACCTAACGCCTGTTCTTAATTCTCTGGGGGCCTGCAAACGATTTCAGTGTGATGAGCGTGAAGTTTCCCCAGCACCCATGAACGTGGTTCATCAGAAATGAAAAAGTGACTAGGTCATATTGCAAAGAGCAATGTGCTTACGTTTGGGGTTTTTTTTGGTTTTTGTTTTGACTTTTTTTTTTAATCCAGGAACCCGAGGATTTGCTAGCATTCTGAAAACTTTGTAGGATTAATCATTTTCAGGCAAGGGCTTCACTTAAAGCTGCACAGTACCACGTAAAACAGCAGTGGTTTGAGTTGCTTGGCTAGGTTATTTACTAGAAGCAAAATTTGATTTATCACTGGGCCCTTGGAAACATTACTCGAACCACTCTTCAAAAAAGCGCAATTAGAGACACCTAAAGCAATGCCTAATAATAGCACCAATGTCTTCGGCAGCTCCGATCATCCGTACATCTCAGAGCACTCTATGAGGAGGGGCAGAAGCACACTCCCTATCTCACACAAGGGGAAACTACAACACAGATTTACCCACAGCTCTCCAGCTGGTTCCCATCTCACCACCCAACCCTGCTATACTAGTTACTAAGCCATACTGATTCCCAAGGGAGCAAAAGCTTGAGTGAGCCCATCCAGTTGCTCATCCACATCGTTTCTTGCCTGCCTCTCACCGTACAAACTGATGGGGCACTGGCCTCTGATGCAGAGACACTGAGACCCTACGGAGGGAAGCCAAAGGTGGGTTTTCAAAAAAACCTCAAGTGCCTGGGTAGCTCCCACGCTCATTCACAACTCATCAGATGTGTTCCTCGCTTAATCAACAAATCCAGGGAGTCATTAACGCCTACGCAGGTGGGAAAGCTCTCCTTAAGCACACTTCTGCACCCACCCTGCTTGCTGGTGGGAAAGCCAGGAGCAGAAAGCAAGTGTCTCTTGCTGACCAATTCCCACAAACAGTGCTGTCCTGCTCCTTTATCAGGGCGATGGTGTTCGTATGAGTTGTCAGAACAGTTAGGAAATGAGCATGAAAAGAAAACCCAACCCTGCAAATAACAGTGTGGCCATGTCTGGGCATTATCCCAGACACCTAATCAACTCCAGCCCTGCAAAGACACCCAAAATACCAGGACTCTTCTCAAACCCGGCCTGTCATCAGCAGGACGCTGTAAACTTCTAAACTCAGTTTTAAAAAACAGTGTTTTGTAAGAACAATCATTTCCCTTTAAGGGAAGAAAAAATGTTTTTTAAAACCTCTGGCTTTTCCTCTTCTCATACCATAAGTCACTGGGTTTGGCATTTTACCCTACAGCAGAAGTCCATCACCATGTTAACAGTGTTACCTTCTAACAACATTATTGCTTCGTATTACACACTACTAAACACTAGGGAGAAACAAGAACACTGGTTCTTGTGGAAAAATTAACTGTGATTAAAGCAAAAACAGTGAAGAAACCTAGACCAGTTTCCAACTTTCTAGTTTCCAACTTTCTCTGGAGATGGAAAGTTACTCCACCCATATCAGACTGGTCAAATTTTGATCTGATTCACTAAATTCCCTTTGGCTAGAGTGTGACCAGTCAGAGATTTTGGTAGTTTATTTTCAGCCCTCTCCACCAGGAATGGGTTGGGTGTAGCCAGCAGTGCCACGGAGCAGAGGGGTGGATTAGACACCACCAGCCTTTGCTGCTATGCATCTATGAGGTTTTACTTTGATACTGCTGAACTTTGGATTTTCAGAGTCAAGTAGGTTGGAGTCACGTCAGTGAGCACCACCACAAGCCTCTACCCAACCTTATAAGCACCTGACATCTTAGCTATGAAGTTTTCCACGTCGTAGATGTTCAAGTGCACAAGGGCCCTTTTCTGAGCACGTCCAGATGTGTCTGATGCCACTGGGCAGTTCAGCACCTTTTTTCCCACCATAGCTTTTTTGATATTCACACATTTCTCATCTCTCCACCTCTTTTCGTTAATGGTCCCAACCCTGGATGAAGCTTTCTCAGGAGGTATCACTGATGAGGTGGAGTTCAAAATACCATCACACCTCTTCTTCTGTTCAAGAGCCCAGTGGTCAGCATCCTTATGAGGAGAAACTCAATTTCCCTCCTCTATCTGAGATATGAGCCCACATCTCCTACCTAACAGGAGAGACCCTAACTCCCAGGCTAGCCTCAGGCAGGACAGGAAACAGTTATTTTATTTTACTTGGAATAATGACGTGTCTGTGGGACAGAGAGAGAAGGGACAAAAGAGTCAGTTTGGATTCTTTCATTAGATGATCAAGGATCTAAAAGTGAGCTTTTGTCATAGTCAAGGTTGTAGCACTTAAGTGTTGACATGCTTATCACAGTCCATGACATTTCAAAAATACAGATGTCCTCAGCCTAAGTTGGAGGAACTACTACAGCTGGAAGTCCACAGAGCAGTCTTGAGGAGGATGTTAGTGAACCCTCTTGCAGAAATGCAGTTTATATCCTTCCAGACTACAGAGGTTTCTGCCATTCCAACAGCACATCTGATGACTAATGATAGCGCTATCAGCCCGGCTCAATCATACACCTAAGGCTCAGTACAAACTACTTAATTTTCTGAGCATCATGATTTAATTATGCAAATTTCTTGTAAGAAGTCATGCTGTGCTCCAAAAAAGTCAAGTTGCAGAGTGCGACAGCCTTCCTTCACAAACGCTGGCTGATTTCTCCTGTTTGCATCAGTTGGACAGTCACATTACCTTTAAGTCCATTTTCTTTTTAAATAGAGAAAGAGCAAAGTGTCTTAAAAATAGTAAGAGCAGTAAGCAATAAGACTAATTAATCTTTACAGCATATTTTCCTAAAATATGGTGGGTTATAGATCATCTGAAGTCTTAAAAAAGACACCTCATTTTGTTTTACAGTGTTGCCGTGGTAAGTTGCTGGTACAGATGGAAGAACTGTTCAGAAGGATTTTTCAGATATTCTGACCCAAGAACTAAATCTAAAGCTGATAATGTGTTTATTTTAATTTAACTTAAAGTTAGCATTGATTACATATCTCAGCCGCTATACAGCCACTAATTTTCAGCCCAGATGCAGTTGTTGGATGGCAATAGTTGATGTCTCCACTGTACTTGGCTCCAAGTTTCAATTTCTTTTCCAACAAGCATCTCAGGAATGAGATAAGATTTGCAGCTGATGTTAAACAACAGGCATTACCACCTCACTTGCGTCTTGCTGTGAAAGAAACCACAAAAGCAGGAACTTGTGCTGGCATCCAGAATAATGATCAGCTAGGCTTTAAAAATAAGTTTGGCACTAGATAGCACAAGAGTTACTTGTCACTCACCTAAGGCTTTGCATGGAGTCATGGATACATGCACACAAACACACACAGAATTAAAATCAGTATTTTTGATCATACTACCAAATAAGCTGCAATTGCTCTCAAGATTTTGCTGGGAAATCTTGCTCAAGGGCTGCCATTCTGGAAGGCGCCTTTGCAGTTTCCTCCCTGCAGAGCTCACCACCTCTGAATCCAACGCTAGGACAAAGCAATTGGGCAGAAACTGGGGGGATGCAGTAACAACGCAGAACTCGGCAGAAACGCCTGTTCTGTTGGAAAAGAGGTGCTGCACAAAAGCAGACCTATCTGTGCTGCTTCTCTCCTGACATCCCAGGTGAGAACAGCCCATACTATTCAAATGGAAGGAGATGCTTCTACTCCACTGCATCAGTGATGGAGGGAAGGAAGGACAAGACCTTGGGGGAAAAGAGGGCTGAGGAGCATCATTCACTACAGTCGTGCTGCATTTTTTTGGTTGAGTGTGGAGGAAGGCAGAGGATGGGGAGCCACTTCTTAGCACCCAGCCAGGAGCAAGGTCTCCCACCACCTAGTGCTAGTGGGGAGAGGACGTCTGCTCTCTTCTTGCTTTAGGTAATCCAGGCTGGGGAATGGGACAAGAGTTGGTTGCTCAGCTGGTTTTAGTCTGTGGTTCCCATCAGTGCCAAACACAGCAGCATCTCCGTCATGGAGACTGCTGCCCACTGTGAACTGGCTGGCGACCGGCACAGATTTTTAACTAGAGCGTCTCTAAAGGCAGTGAGTTATGGCTGGAGACCAGGGTGATTTAAAAAGCTCTCGCCAGACTGCTACGGACTCCGCTCTTCCTTTGTAGCTGTTGTTTTGAGTTGTCTTTCCCACCCTCCCCTGTGTGTTGCCAAAGTAAAGCCCATGTATAATTTATCTATTCCAGACAAGTTATGCTGATGCATAATTTACAATGGCCTGAAATTTTCCTATATAGTGAGAGAGAGATAATTATAATGCATTTGCATTCTTGAGGCCACATCATCAGTGGGTGTAAAGTGAGACGAAGGCATTGAGCTCAGCACCGAGACTGGGTTCGGAGGGATGGGGACCCTTGCGATCTCTTCAGCTGTGCAAAGCCTAGTGGCTGTGGTCTTGGGCTGGAGGAGATACTTCCTGCAATGTTCTCACCACTCAGCTCTGCAGTCCTTCTGGGTGCTCTGGCAGCTGCTACAGATCTTCGTCTCGATGCAGGGATGTCTTCTTTGCCACTTCTCGCCTCCTCCATGTGCTGGGTACCCCTGTCCTCGCCCCTGCCCATGGTTCTCTGAGCTGCTGACCCCTCTCTTGTCTCAGCAGCAGCTGATATGAACCAGGTATTATCTCCCCTACAGCAACACCCTGAATGCCTTCTCTTCACCCTTTCCAGAATTTGGACCTGGTCCCCGTGGCCAGAATGAGTTTGAATTTATCTGCAAAATAACACTGACCAATGCTGGGCCATTGCCATTGTCTTGCTCCTTGGGAAGTCATACATGTTTCCAAAAGCAAGATGCCCATATCTCACTGACACGGCTATTTGCTCCTTCAGCTAGCAATTCTGTAAGGGGGCAGAGCAAGAGAAAACAGGCTTTCTGTAGGAAACTCAGGTTGGTTTACACAATTGGTAATCGGTCCCATTCTTGAGGAATTTGGAGAAGCTGGTGTTAGTCTATGCAGCAAAGCCCTAAGATACAAGGGAAGGACGTGGCACAAACTTTGTACTGCTTATGTTTTCAAAATCCAAATTCCAGGAGGAAAGGAGGAAGAAACATTAACATAAGTACTGACTGTGCATGCCTCGTGTTTCCCCCATGTTTTTTCATTGCCTGTTTTTCAAGTAGCAGCAGATTGCTAACGCTCGCCGTCAGCAAGCCACTATGGACTTGCTTTCAAATTTGGCAGCTGTCAACTTTTGCTCTGCAACCACTTTATCCTGCTTTCTGCTGCAGGCTATTTTTGACTTGCCTCTTTGAGACCCAAGTGTCCCACCTGCAGAGGCAGCTGGATTACTGGGGTTTCTTCATGGCCCAGCTTTCAACCATGCGAGACAACCAGCAGTACTGTTGTGCATAAAGCAGTGCACGTAGGTGATGAGGAAGTGAATGGGGACACAGGAGTCACTCTACAGTACAGTACAGAGGTGTTTTCAAAAGTAGTGGGTGATTTGGGAGGAATCTCACCTTCCAGGTGTTTCTGTTAAGGGCTGGGATTTATCTAATTTCAGGCAAGTCCAACACCCTGAGCTGGGCACTGAGGGTCTTGCAAATCCATCAGATAAATGGACACCTAGAAGCTCCCATACTTTTCCACCAAGGGCAGAGGGAGCTCAGATATGCTCCTGCATCTACATCAAGTGCAGTTCATAGAAGTACAGACCTGAAAGCTGGAAGATCTGGATTTCTGGAAGACCCAAGTCAAACTGAAATGGTGTCCAAGGCACCAATGGCACCCTGCTTATCCAACAGTACCATCTTGTTGTCCTCTGCCACCTGCAGTCACCTTGCCTTTCATCTGTATATGGACTGTAACCTTTGTGGAAAACATTTATGCATTTTTTCAAACACGTTAGCTTTTCTCTTGACATCAACAGCAAGCGCTCATGGATTTGGCCCAAAGCAAGCATTGACTGGGTCAGGACGAAGTGAAGAGGCAGCGGTGCTCTGCCATCCCTGCTGCGTGGGATCAACCCATCCACATTCAGCAAGAGCTGGGCACACCACAGCTTCCACTCAGCCCATCGCACACAGCCCTGCTCGGCTTTCTGTCCTGTTCACTTTGGATCTCGACGGTTTGGGCCCCATCGGACCATGGTCACATATACAACGGTGTCACCCACACCGAATCTGCTGGCCCAACAGCATCGTGGATGCTGAGAAACAGGTTCATGGCAAAAACTTCAGAGGTCCTCTTTGGGGACAGCTCTGGTCAGAACATGAATTCTCTTGCACACAGTTAGACAAAACTTGCTCCCAACCAACAGAACTCTCCATGTTTCAAAAATGGCACCTCTCCCATCAAAACCCACAATGCATATACCTACCCTCTCTTCCCGGCTTGCAGTTTTGACTTATGGAAACCACCATGGAGCTCCAGGACAATTTTAGGTGCATTCTTTTCCAATTCTGGGCCTGGTAACCCATGACCCATACTTTCCTGTGAAATCCCCCCAAAAGATAGCTGAGCCGTACCTCTTTGAGGACCAGCACGCACTTGCCAGGCCCGACAGACTGAGGTAGCTCTGCTATTCTGCCTTTGTTTAAATATGGACCTGAGAAGCAGCGGTGGTTGATGTAGAGCTGAGGGCAGCAGTATCTCCCATTGATGGTGCCTGCAAGGAGAAAGTAGCGTTGATGTGCGTGTAGCACTTTTGTACAATAAATCAAGGGCCCTTCTTCCTCCTAGATGTGGGAAGGAGGGGAGAAGAGTAGAGGAGGCACAAAAAGTCTTCCTTGAGATAAAAGGTAGAGAAGCCTCTGCTACTTGAATCCATCCAACACGGGAAAAGCAAGTGTCTTAATAGCAACCAATTTGGCTGCACACCCTACCGAAAGGAGAATCGGGAAAGGATTTCACTCATAATGTGACCCAAACCTCTTCCATAACTTGCATCACAGATGGACATGAGCGACTCAGTTGCAACTTGCCAGAAAAGGAATGTATTAGCTGCCTCTCACGGATACGGAATCGGCTCAGGGAGAAAATTCAGGCGGAGAGCTCTACAAACCCCTCTTCAGCTACTGTCCAACCCAGTAAGCACTGCAGTGCCATTCCCCTGACCCAACATGGGTCTACTGAGCAGTTTTCTTTGTCTGGGCTAATTACTCTGGGCTCCTTTATAGCCCATGGAGAGAAGTGTGTACTTCTAGATGCGGTCCATGTGCCATCCAAGTGGTTATCCACTTTTTGGTTATCGTACCCAAAAAGAGCCTGTTTCTCCCCATTTGACTGTAATGGGGCCCTGGGATGTTGGCTCAGATGCCAATGTGTGTCCTGCAGTCTGCTGAAATAAAGTGAGTTAAATCCTGCCCCTCCTGCTGAGTCTATGCAATTAACTGAATGAATATTGCGCTCTCAGAGCCTCCTGCCATTGCTATAGGGGAGAAAAATTTGCCTTTAGCAGAAGTAGCAGCCATGCCACACGGTCTTGATGCTAACACAGGGACCCATTAAGTCCGGGTGTAAGCAATTTCACTGATGCCAATTAAAAAGTCGCATCCACCTCCACCAGAGCTTCATTAGCCTGGCCCTAACATTGTTAGCTGAAATGGGCAAGCTGCAGGGGAACTCCGCTAACCCCAGCAAGACACGACGCTCACGTGCAGAGGACCAGACCCTCTGTACACCAGAGGCTCCTCGCACTGGTGGTGTGTCCACACCACCTCACCGTCCCTGAGGATGTGGTCCTGTCTCCCCCCCCAAATGACACAGTCGCTCCCTTTTTGGGGTCATTCCCCTCCACACAGGCAACAGGTCCTTGAAATAAGGATCCTGCTGGTGCCCAGCAGCCTTACCTGTTGTGTCTGGCTGAGGAACCGGGCAGAGGTCATGAGGTATTTTCTCAACAGGCACTGTGGATGGTAACCTGTTAAACAGCAATTCAGTGTATTTTAATAGTGTCGGGTGGGGCAAAGGGGCAGAACCAGCCTTCAGGCTGGACCCAGAGATATACCAGCACCCGCCTGGACCAAGGAATGGTGATACCTCAAATGCAACACCACTTCCACATGGTTTATCATAGCCCGGGGCCAGCATATTGCAGAAGGAGGAGACAGATTCACTCCTCCTCCAAAAACATACTCTGGTCTGTGAGCTTTAGCCCTTCAGGCTGCAAATATTCACACTTAAATCCCTTAAATTCTAATTTCTAGAAACTGCAAGGGCTAGATAGGGAAATGCCCTCCTGGTACATGTTCGCCTTCCATAAGCATCCCTTATTGGCCATAAGACACTGGCTACACAGTCCCAACCAGTAAAAAATTTCTATTACAAAGATTTTCTAATATGCTCACAAATATTTTAGTTTTAAAATAATCCCCTTGTCAGTTCTACTGCAGTATCCGGGCAGTAGCTAGCAAAGTCACTCAGCTGCTCTATTCCCTCCCCTGAAAGACCTGATGCATCCCTGTAAAAGTATCACCTTAAATAACAAAAACTTACTGCTTTTCTGGTTGCACAACTGCAATTCTTCTCTTCCTTCGCACTGCAAAAATGAAGCAAGGAAGAAAAAAATAGTTTTGTACCCTTCTGTCCTATAAAGTATACTTATAATGCATAAAGAGCTGTATAAATGCACTGACTATAAAATGACTTCTAACACAATGAAATGGTACTTAATTACTATCGCCATCTTTTCTTGTTTTTTTTTTAAGTAAGTCACTACATCATTAAAACCTACTTTAAAGATGTAATAATACATTTAATCTTTCCTCTGGAATGCTAATATTGTGTTTTATGGGATCGGTATAAAAAAAAATTAAAAAAAAACACAAATATTTTTCCATACAGAAACACATATGGGTAAGATTACGTTTTACAAGCATGATTACCTCCAGCATAATTTATCCCTAGCTATAAATTGTGATAAGGCTGCATAATGTTGCCATAGCAGTATTCTCCCAAATTAGGCCCCGGCTGCCTGATTTTTAACTTAAGCATATTTAACTCTTCAAAAGGGTTGACACATTTTAAAATTTGCCTTTCAGATGTTAATTACTATAAACAGCGAGGCTAATTTTTCATCTGGTGGCTTGAGATCGGGGTTGGATAGTTTCTGCAAGGAACAGGAGAACACCACCAAGCCACTGAGCGCTCACGAACTGCCTTCAAATGCAAATGGAAAGGAAAGAAATTGGTCTTAATACACACTGGAGGCAGGACAAAACACGATGGGCTTATTTGTGCCAGAAGAGATTTAAATTAAACACTAGGGAAATCTCTGAGCTGGTAAGGGCAGTGAAATAAGGCGACAGATACCCTGGGAAGGAGCAGAAACTCCATCACAAGAGGCCAGCAAACGTTTCATAATTTAGATGGAGCAGATCTTGTTTCGGAGAGGGAGCACCTGGATGGCCTGTTTATGTCCATTCCACCCTATATTTTACGGGCTTTTTCCAATTTGAGGTCCTGTGTCCCTAATTCACTCAACTGCCCAAGTGAATTTGGCTCGGCGCAACGAAACCTGGTTTCACCCTGACAACCCCACCGCAAACCCACAAGCCACACTGTGCAATCCCAAACCACATAACAGCCTTTCCCAGTGCAAACAATCCCATTTTTAGAGGGACTGACCACACAGACAAGTACAAATTGCATAATACCAGTGCTGCAGAGTCTGGTCACTAAATAGATTTATTACTATTTATTACAGTACGCATACAGCCTGGTTACCAGCCTGCTAGTTAGGTTGGTAGCTTCAAAAATTGGATTATAGACATAAGACAAACTCCCTGATAAATCCGTTGATATAATATCTGTGCTGCTTGAGGTTTCCATGTACTTACAAACAGCTTTGTGTGGTGGAGTTAGGTTATAAGCATTCGCTTCACACCAGCCAACAGGGAAAATGTCCATAGACTCTACATCAACTATGTACTCTGGAGAGGGCATCTGTAAACCTATAAACACAAATTTATAATGCAATTTAGACATGGAAATACCAAGCCCAGAGCCATTTGAGCATTCATCATGAACCAAGGGAAGCAAATGATGGAACATGTAAAAGTAAATCTGCTTCCCTGCATCAAAATCAGGCATCATTTCACCTTCAGTTTTGCACAGAGAGCAATGATAAGGCTGTTGCATTTACAGTGCAACGTGATTCCACAGAAAACCCCCATTAAGAGCACACTAAGGCTGCACAATGAAGCAGCCAAAGCCGGTAAGGTTAAACATGCATGACCTTCCCCAACAAGACAGCCTGATTGCCCCCTTGGTTGTTCTGTAGATTTGCACAAGCAAGTTAGCGGAAGGCCAGCTGGGTGCTTGCTCTTACTGGTAAAAAGAGTGCTGTAGCAGGATAATCGCTAATGTCATACGCCTTTATGCCCCAATGCCCCCCTGAAGCTTTTTCACGTAGTTCTGCCCGAGTCACTGTTTTTAAGGGTGGGAGATGGCCTCTCTTCTGTTTAGAGGTGCCGTGAATTCTCCTAGGGCTCCTCGCTACATGACCTGATCACCCAAACAAGGGAGAGGCAGCATAAAAACCCCAAGGGGGACAGATGCACTAAGACCTCTGGCATAACACTGACTCCAAAACCCCACTGAAAATCTCCACTTAAAGCAAGTCTCTTCCAGTTTGGTTATTATGTCCTGTAGAAGACACTCTCCTGTCTTGGTTTATATGGGTCACACTCAAAGCCCATTGCAGCAAATGGAAATATTCCCACTAGCTTTGAGTTCTTTCGAAAACAGTCTGGGTCCTGAGTCAAGACACCATTTAATTATTCCAATTCAAGTCCATCTGTGCTGGCATAGCCTGGCCAGCAACTTCACTCCCCTCTGCCATTTCCACCCTAGGACCTATAGCTCCAGCACCAGCATGAGATGATCTCCTAATAAAAGAGACCAAAGGATCAGCAGCTTCCCCTGCAGCATCCTCGCCTTTGCATCTGTTACAGCATCTTTGCCTCCTGCTTAATGCAGCCGTGTTTGACTGTGCACAGCTAGATGACTACGGCAAACTTCCCACTAATGAATGTTCATCAAGGGCTTGCAGTGTAATTGAAACAGTAATTGAACTTTGCGATGGGAATGGCATTGAGGCTGAGATGCAGCATTTGGATCAATCTCGTCTCTAGTAATAAACTTGCTGCACTTTTAGAGTGTGTGGTTGTATGAAAACCCAAAGGAAGCAGAAAAATAAGTGCCGGTGCTCACGCTGCTGGAGACAATAATTTAAAAAATGAAATCATGACGTCTACATAGGTTCATGGACGTCGTCATGGTATTCCCCTGAGCCCTGCACCATGTTCACGGATCGCACATTGAACATACAGTCTCTATTTCACCGGGATATGGGGAAGGCAAGACGACGGGATGAAGACACACGATAGAGGACACAACCTGCTCATATGAGGAGCTGAGCCTCAATGCGAGATCTCAGCAGCTGGCATTCCCTGCAAAACCATTTCCCTCCACAAGGAAATACCAAGAGGTCACTGATCAGTTTGAACCTGATGAAAGCTGCACTCTCCAGTGGGCAAAACATTTTCGCCTAATGCCACAAATCCAGCCAAGGAACCGATGTGGGAACTGCTGAAGTCAGTGGCAAGACAGGCATGAAGTGAGCAAGCCATGGATCAAGCCTGAAACAGAGCATGAGATCAACACGGTCCCCACTGAAATTTCACCAGATCTGGGAAAATCCACTATTTTCACTACTGTAACTGTTCCACAGTGTTATTCTGACCAAATTCCCTGACGAGCGAGGAAGCACCGCAATGTCTATTCTCCTGCAACACCACTACTCCTCTTGTAAGACATATTCACCGCCACTCTGTCCTCCCGGGCACTGCTTCTTCCCTCCGGTAACTGATAACTCTGCCTTCCATTTCTGACATCCTACCGCTTTGTTTGGCCTCGCTCGTATACGTGGGAAACAGCTTGTCTGAGACTCATTAGTTTCATTTGCTGCATTTTACGCTGCCATCTTCTCAGAGTAAGAAATGTCCGTGAGATTTGAGAGGTTAAATGGAAAAGAAGACAACAAGGAGATTGGAAACAGGATGAGGAAAACCTCTGTCTCATGCTACGAATCTTGCAGGATGGGCAGAATAGAGCAGCAATGCTAGAAAACTCTCAAAGGGAAAATTATGGAAAATCTCCCTGGTGAAGAGATTAACAAAAGGGTTTTCCTCAAATTCCTAGGTTGCGCAGAGAGTGTACATTATTACTTGTATAAATTCACAGCGGAAAGCTTCAGCTTTAAAATCTAAAATGAACCAGTAAAAATTAACAATGCAGATGATGAGTAATAAAGTAGCAGAAAGTGATGGGATGTGCACAGCATCGGATCAGCCCTATGCTTCTTTTCCACCACGGGGGAACTATACTGCTGCTCATTAAATGCTCACCCTGAAGTTTACAGAGTTTTGCTACTGTACAAAGCGTGATTTATTAAGCAATGTTCCCTCATGTCTAACTCAACGCTGCTTAACTACTGCGTCCTGTTTTATGGCTGCAGTTTGGGCTGTCAAACAGCGAAACTGGGAGGGCAACAATGAAAGCTTCAGACACCCCCATGATAAATTGTGGGACCCGAGGTCTTCAGCGATGGGCTCCCATGGTACTTGGGAAGTCTTGCTGCTACCAGAATATAAATAATCAGTTAGAAACAGTAGTGTATTAATGGAGTCAAAAAAAACATGCCACAGTTCAAGCCACATTTATTTTACAACTCTGCAAGCAGGGTTTTGGGGTTTTGTGTTCTTTTTAATGCCTAGTTTTAGCCTAACACTGTGCATACTGTAGTCATGTATTTCAACAGCAGCAAGGATTTCTTTTTATTTTTGCAGTCTTGCATCTCTTCCTTTTACTACAGATCATTCTATTCCTGGTATTGAGATATAAAACAAGTGTAAAGTATCTGTATATCAGAACTCAAAAGACAAGGAGATGCACACAGGTTTTTTTATGATAAGTTGTAAAAAAAAAACCCTTTAAGAAATTAAAAGAGTAAAAGGCAGGGAGAAAGAGATGAGGGAGGGGAGCAAGGTGGGAGTCTGTGGCCTTCTCCCTGCCTTTATCCAGAGTCTTGGAGGACTAGTTGATTTAAAGACCCCCAAAACAGCACTTCCTATTCACTATAATGGGCCAGAGTTTAGTGAACACTGAGTCCCTTTGAAAGTATTACAGCTTAGGGGGGGAAAAAAAAAAAAAAGGATTCCCAAACCCCATAAAATCTGCATATAAAAGAGAAGGCACCTGGCCATTTAAGGAGAGTTGCCAAAATGGGCCAGATTCCTTGACCAGATGGGTGTAAATTCAACAACAGCCCTAGTGAGAACTGAATTTCAAACAAGCATTGATTCCAGCTCTTTAACAAAAATTTTTACCACGTGTCCACACCAGCCTGCAGATGAGCTTTAGCCACCTCGAGTCAGAAGGCAACCAGTCGTCTCAGATGAAAAAACCAAAACCCGCCATTGCACGCAGCTCTACCAAAAGCAAAGATGCAAAGTTGTATCTGCTCTGTACACTGGAGGTAATCACAGAGGACACAAACTGCCTGGGGTGTCAGGGATGGAGAAGGATGATGACCCAGCTCTCCATCTCCCCCCTCTGCTGCACTGGGGCGCACACCTGCAGCTCTGCTCTCCCCAGACCTCAGCCGACCCAAACCACGGGGCTTAGCAGCAAAGACACGAGAAGCACGAATGGTTTGGCCTGCCAAGCTTTAGGTCAAGAGGAATCTCTCTTTAGATAGCAACTGAGTTACAAATCTCTGAGAATGGGATTTATCATGGAGGCGTCGAGAAAGCCTTGTCTACTGTAGAACGCTACTTCTGTAAAGCTAAACACCACAGAAAATCTTCCTTTCTTATATTATAGAACAAGCTGCTAGCACAGATGAGGTACTTTGGGTTACCTGACAACGTTTTTACTAACTTTAAGGGATTTGATTAGAGACCTTTCCTTTTGCACAAATTGCACTGCACATTGTCAGATGCTGAAATACTTCTTGGGTTGTTATAATCAGCGTAGCATGATGCTGGAGGTGATGTGCCAGGTGATGATGAAGCAATACAGCTACTATCAATCTGGCTTCCACTGTCTTTCAGCCCCAAAACACTGAGAGCTGAGCATCTTGCAGAGGAGGGAAGGTGACTTTTTGTGCAGATCAGGCTTGAGACTTCATCTCACATGGGATCTCTGCAAGAACCTCTTCCTGCGAGCCCTGTTCCTCTGTCCTTTCTGGAAATCATGTACTTGACTATGGTTTGTTCTCCCATTAACACCTTCCTACCTGTTTCACCCTGCAAGGGCCAAAATAAACTTGCATTAATGTCTGAGAACGAGGCTTCACACTGCTTTTGCAGAAACAATCTTGACAGCAGCACAGATTTAATGCACTTCAGGGGAATTACTCACGAGCCACCACACTGACCCCACAGGCCATCAGAGAAGACATGGACGACTCCTTTCCTCCTTCCCACCTCCTGCTACAGAGCTCCCACGGAGCAAGTAGGTGTCGCTGACTTTAGCAAAGGAAAGTCTTGCTCTGTTTCCTTCTGATTCTGCTCTCTGCAGGACAACTCTGCAACCTGGAGCGCAGCACGAGCTTTGTTTCTCCCCATCCCTTATTCCCGTTAGGAGACAGGGATACCAACAACACGCAGTACCCCCTGAGCTGCAGAACAGGACCGCGTCTTGCCTTCCTCCCAGCTCACTGAGACAACGTGCCATTGTATTGCCTGGGGTTGTACGTAGCAAGTGTTGAAGAGATGCTGCTCTTTCATCAGCCCAATCTCTCAGGGATGCCATGAAACATCTAGCGGCATCTATCAGAAATGCATAAGGAGAGCTGCACAGTGATCTACCTATCAGCACGTGATTGCAGGCAGAGCGGTGGAGGTACTTTAACATCACGTCTCCCTGACCCATCATGGTAGCTTAGCCGAATGCATTTTATTTTGCAAATGGGGTGTTCCAGCAAGGTGTTGATTTTTGACCGTGTCAGGGCTGGCAGCACAAGTAATGACACATCTGCCCTATGCATTCTTCAAGAGGCAGAAGCACAGATCTTAGAGGTTGGTGATGAGCAGGACTATGGGCCACCAGAAGTGCCTTTGATATTTTCATGGCTCTCCAGAAGAAAGCAAAGCAGCATATTGCATTTGCAGTCGATGCTGCCCCAATTACTATTGATTTCAGAGGGAAACTGAAGCTCTTATATTCATTACAGGTGAAGCCAGTAGCTTCAAACAACAGTGTGTTACCTTGATGGGTAAAAATTAAACTATGTTGTGACAAAGATACATGCTACAACAAATGTATGGTTTATCACAAAAACACTTAAATGAGCATGGCTTTCTGCTCTTGGCGACTTTACAAATAACACTGGTTTTAAAGCAATAAGAAGAATCCCTGTGTTGTTCTAAATTACACTTACCTAAGAAGTCCTTGCCCAGATGAATTGAGAAAGAATGTCCCAAGAGCAAAACCGCACTAAAAATGAGCTCATCTCTACCTGATTTCAAGAAAGGCAGAAATGGAAGTTTTTATACGGTATTATGCTCTGCTAGTTTTTCAGCACTCTCCTAATACTGCTCGTACAGTGGTGGGTGGTGTCCTCCGTGGGATGATGGCTTTCTAAAGTCTGCGTTACAGAGTTACTGCCTACAAGAGCTCTCCTAGATCGGCAAAGGAAATTGTACAGTCACAGAGAGGAGGGATGTGAGCATGCGACGGCCATAGCGAGGAGCGGCATATAATGCAGAAGTTTTATGGGCCTAGGTGAAACAAAAGGAGTGAAAGGAAGAGGAAGGAAGGAAGGAAGGAGGTTGCAGGGGGACAGGAGATCCCGTGAGAGCCTGTTGGAAATCACAGTGGAAGTCTCAGCCGCACAAGTGAGGCAAACATCCATTCCCAGGATGGATGATGGCAGTGAGGAGGTTTCTATCATCAACGGAGATCATGCGGGTAGAGTCCACATGGATGGGAGGGTGGAAGATCTTGTGGCTCCCTTGTGGAGAGAGCAGGGGAAGATAATTCTTAATAACCTTTATTATTATTATAATCTATTATTATTGGTCAATGAGTATAAAAAGGAAAGGCTGGAGAAAGCAATATTGTGCAGAGGATGAAGGACAAAATTAAGAGAACATTTGAGTGAACCACACAAACAGAAGAAGCCTTTACAGCACATACCTTCAAGGTGAAGCCACATTAACCGTCCTTTAACTGAGGTGATAGAAGCGACACATATCTCTGCAGGGTTCCTGGGGTTCACTGCCTCCAGCTTCATGTTCTTAGTAAAGCCACGGCTGAAGGATGTCTGAAAGAGTCAAGGACCAACACTGAAACATGGCACTGCAGCACTCCATGACTTTAATTAGGCTGTCCACTGGGAAGCATAAATTTAGCATGGTTTGCTTTTCACTGGAAGTGCAGGATACACTGAAGAACACAAAGGCATCCAGATTCAACATGAAGCTACCCTAGACACCCATATGAAAAAACAATGACGGCAACAAATCAGGAAGCAATGTATTTCATGGTTTACTCCAATCCCGAACTCTCAGAGACTGGGAGGAGGTTACTCCACACCAGCTCCAAGTATATTTGAATGATCACTAGCGATGCATTTGCTGGCCACTGTTGGTGGCAAAATACTACACAGAGGGTTCCCAGATCTGCTGTGTCTGAGCATCTTTCACCTTGCTAGAAGCAGCCTTGTCAAGCAAATAACCCAT